GATATATTCAAGAGCCAGTGCATGCCCAGTATCTGCCAACAGTGCGTAACAGAGGCGTGACCGATCGCCCAAGCGGCTAGCGACCCGATCACTGGTCAAGAGGTAAAGTAAAGTAAAGGTAAAGTAAAAGAACTATAATCAGTTCAGTCGAAGTTTGCAGCTGGAGGCCTACTGTAGAGTCAGTTTGTAGCAAGGCAGCTGATTGGTTGACAGGCGGTAACGGGAAGTCACCACAGTTTTTTAGTATTTAATCTGTCATATTTATATTCTGATATTTTAAGGGATAATAACTATTTCATGTTGACCTCTGATAAGTTCCGCACTTGGAAATCAGGAATTAGCTTGTGTAACATTCTTGTAACATAAATATCCTGAAGAGAACAAGAAAATGTTTAAAAAAATTTCAAGGACATCCTCCATCACGGGGCGTGACGTCATGAGACGGAGTTTACGTCACAGAACTTGTTCATCATGTTCGTGTTTTCTTCAGTATATTTATGTTACTAGAGTTGCGAGACAACAGTGCACCGAGACTCTACCTGAGCTTGATGCGTTCATTTAGGATCAGGTATGAGACGAATTTAAAGTAAATGACCTTTCCCTAACCATGTGTGATTTTGTCGGTGCTAAATGAACGGTTCTAGTTATAGTAGAACATTTACACATCAATTTTGTGCTATAACTTAAATTCAACTACGAATCTTTAGAGCAGGATAGGTAGTAGGTAGTAGGCACCTATCAAACAAGGAGGTACTACCGCCTGGGAAGATATTGGAAGCATAGTGTGTCTAATGGTAGACCCTGCTGCCATATGTGACCAAGTCCCAGGTTGATGATCTGACTTTCTGCCTCATTTACACACAGTTGCAGGGTCTCAATTGTTCTCTTACTTTGACAACACAACATACATATATCGTTTTTCACTATTGATTTTTCTTTAATTTTTGTATTTTTTTATCATTATTACTATTATATTATTACATTATATTTTTAACACTTTATTAATTATTATTATTATTATTATTATTAAACAAAAAACGATAGATATACAGGTGGAGTTACTTCACACAACCACGACGTACTACACATACAATTGTTTTTTGTGGGAGGTTCATCAGTGTGTTGTAAACGTGAGCCTAATGAAAATTAAATCAAGTAATCTATCATGTTGAATGTGAAGGGGAGTGTAAGTAATGAAAACGTGTGGTAATGGTGGTAGTAACAAAAGTAAAAGCAAAGAATCTTACTAATGATAATAATAATGATAAGAGTTCAATTATAAACAGATTGTATTCATATTGGTAAATGTAATAGAAATATTTTGTTATTGCTGTTTTTTGTTGCTGCTGTTGATATATTATTATTATTATTATTATTATTATTATTATTATTATTATTATTATTATTATTATTATTATTATGAGTGAGAGTGGTAGTAGTAGTAGGAGTATTTTACCTTTCTTTACTATATCAGTTATTTTTATGTATGAAAATAAAAACACTAGCCTGATAATCTGACCTGACTTCTGCCACTTTCACTACCATGTCTGGCTATCACCATTTATGTCTGGCTATCACCTATGTCAGGCTACCACTATCTATGTCTGGCTACCACCAGTTATGTCTGGCTATCACCTATGTGAGGCTACCACCATTTATGTCTGGCTATCACCATTTATGTCTGGCTATCACCTATGTGAGGCTACCACTATCTATGTCTGGCTACCACCAGTTATGTCTGGCTGTCACCTATGTGAGGCTACCACCATCTATGTCTGGCTACCACCAGTTATGTCTGGCTATATGTCACCTATGTGCTACCACAGTTATGTCTGGCTATCACCTGTGAGGCTACCTGCATCTATGTCTGGCTACCTGGTTATGTCTGGCTATCACCTATGTCAGGCTACCACCATCTATGTCTGGCTACCAGTTATGTCTGGCTATCACCTATGTCATTACCACTATCTGTCTGGCTACCACCAGTTATGTCTGGCTATCACCTATGAGCTACCACCATTTATGTCTGGCTATCACCATTTTATGTCTGGCTATCACCTATGTGAGAGCTACCACTATCTATATGTCTGGCTACCACTTTCAGTTATGTCTGGCTATACCTATGTGAGGCTACCATTTTATGTCTGGCCTGCCACCAGTTATGTCTGGCTATCACCTATGTGGGGCTACCATCTATGTCTGGCTACACCAGTTATGTCTGGCTATCACCTGTGTGAGGCTTTCTACACCATCTATGTCTGGCTATCACCATTTATGTCTGGCTATCACATATGTGGGGCTACCCCACTATCTATGTCTGGCTATCACCATTTATGTCTGGCTATCACATATGTGGCTACCACTATCTATGTCTGGCTACCACCAGTTATGTGTCTGGCTATCACCTATGTGAGGCTACCACCATCTATGTCTAGCTACACAGTTATGTCTGGCTATCACCTATGTGAGGCTACTACCATCTATGTCTGGCTATCACCATTTTATGTCTGGCTATCACATATGTCCCGGCTACCACACTATCTGTCTGGCTACCACCAGTTATGTCTGGCTATCACCTGTGAGGCTACTATCTATGTCTGGCTATCACCATTTATGTCTGGCTCTCACCTATGTAGAGCTACCACTATCTATGTCTGGCTGCCACCAAGATTATGTCTGGCTATCACCTATGTGAGGCTACTATCTATGTCTGGCTATCACCATTTGCTGTCTGGCTATCACCTATGTGAGTTTCCACCTATCTATGTCTGGCTATCACCATTTATGTCTGGCTATCACCTATGTCAGGCTACCACTATCTATGTCTGGCTACCACCAGTTATGTCTGGCTATCACCTATGTGAGGCTACCACCATTTATGTCTGGCTATCACCATTTATGTCTGGCTATCACCTATGTGAGGCTACCACTATCTATGTCTGGCTACCACCAGTTATGTCTGGCTGTCACCTATGTGAGGCTACCACCATCTATGTCTGGCTACCACCAGTTATGTCTGGCTATCACCTATGTGAGGCTACCACTATCTATGTCTGGCTATCACCATTTATGTCTGGCTATCACCTATGTGAGGCTACCACCTCTATGCAGCTATCACAAAACTTTTATGTCTGGCTATCACATATGTGAGGCTACCACCATCTATGTCTGGCTACCACCAGTTATGTCTGGCTATCACCTGTGAGGCTACCACCATCTATGTCTGGCTACCACCAGTTATGTCTGGCTATCACCTATGTGAGGCTACCACCATCTATGTCTGGCTACCACCATTTATGTCTGGCTATCACCTATGTGAGGCTACCACTATCTATGTCTGGCTACCACCAGTTATGTCTGGCTATCACCTATGTCAGTCTACCACCATCTATGTCTGGCTACCACCATTTATGTCTAATGCGTGTGCATTTTTTGTATATCATATATCTATCTATCTAAATATATATTATCTATCTATCTCGTCAGTGAAGGTAGCCATAGCAGTAGTCGGGAGGTGGTATGTGTGTCGCCTATCAATCAATATCTCGTCGCCTACTGACCAGCTCTTCATCCATGCATATATTGTTTCTCACTTTTGATCTGTTTTCATTTTTGTATTTATGGTTCTTTATTATTATTATTATTAATATTATTATTATTATTATTATTATTATTATTATTATTATTATTATTATTATTATTACGGTTATTATTATTATTATTATTTTATTATTCTTTATTATAAAATTTATTATTATTATTATTATTATTATTATTATTATTATTATTATTATTATTATTATTATTATTATTATTATTATTATTACATTTTCGCCCCCCAGGCGCCGATGTGGGTCAGTGACCTGTGCCCAGGTGGGCTAATCCCCGTAAAAAAAAAAGTGCTGGCGTCGTAACACCTTAGACATTTAATAATGAACGTTCTTATGTAAGTAATTAGTATGCTTAATATTTGATAATTTTTTTTATTTATGACAATTCTACTGGGAGATAAAGCGTCTCTTGCTGGTGGCCGAATACTGTGACTGACGTAAGTTTATTAATTATATGATCGTGAAAATGTAAAGATATTAAGCGTAATTATATTACAGTGCTCAGGAGAAAGAAAAAACAAAAAACACCCTCATTATAGCGATGGTTGTCATAGTGACAACCATAGCGGGAAAATTTATGGATCACTACGACTTTTTGTAAAAATTGCAAAAATAAAATGAAATCTTATCATTTACAAACCTCAATCAAACTTCATATAACGATTAGATAATATAATAGGTTCCATGATCTTAATGTAGTATTTGTTTAAATATAGCAAGTGAAATGTGTATAAAAGAACATAATTATTATCTTGTATGTAGTTGCCTGGGTGACGCTTGAACAGTTGAGTAGCCTGATGTGCTGGTAAGTCATAATTGAATTTACCCTTACGAATGACTGTAATGTTTACCTATAATTATTCTGTAAACGAGCCCATAATATTTACTTTATTTCATACTAATTAGATGCAAATACAACATACGACCACAGATATATTTTCCAGTCAGTCTGTGTGTGTGTGTGTGTGTGGTTGGTTAGCGAATCGTCCAATCACTTAATGTTATCATGGAAAACACGCGTCATTCAATCTATCTCTTTAACACTGTGAGGTCTATGGGTGTAATAAACTAATAAACAATAACATTACTTTATTATCATATATGTTAACAGGGGCTTGACACGATAACAGTAATGGTTAAGTTAGGTTAGGTTGTTTTTCTCAGTTTTCCGAATTTTATCTCCGAAAACCGAGACCTCTTTAAGCACGCAACATGATAGTTATACAGTACATAAGTCCAACTATACTACTACCCCTTTTTTGCGTGTACTATCTTCTGACCAAGGCCATTTCTCTTTTTGGGGGAATACCACAGATAAGTGTTCTATTGTTATTTTTTTTTCTGTTTTAGTATTATTATTATTGTTGTTGAAATAATCGCCACCACTGACGCTTTCTTTCATCTCTTCTTCAGGAAGGTTCTGATTGGGTTCTTGCACTTCTTGGTTAGTTCTATTCCTCTTCCCTTTGTCGGTTCTTCCATACTTAGTTCCTCCTCCACTCTTAGTTCCTCCATACGTCCTCCATTCTTGTTTCCTCCATAATTCCTCCTCCACTCTTTTAGTTCCCTCATACTTCTTCCACCGTTCTTGTTTCCTACATACTTCTTCCTCCATAATTCCTCCTCCACTTAGTTCTTCAGTGAGGCAGATAAATCACCCTACTCGTGTTCTGAGAAATAACTACCTCGGCAACAAACACCTCACTGGAGCAATCACCGAGACTATTTTTAGAGGAGCCCCGGGGCGAGTAGTGACGTCATCATGGCGGGAAAGGGACGAGGGAGAGCGCAAAGTCAACATCTTATCCAAGAGACTCAATACACCTGGTTATTAATAAAGTATGATGTTCTATTTGTATTTGGAATTGGAGAAGGCGTGCATATAATATATTTTTATTCATTGTAATTTTGAAACTATTTTATACTTGTACTGTTTATGTACTGTATATTTACACTCGTACAAAAAGTACCTATACAATTTTTGGCTAGACAATATGACACAACGGACGAAGGATTTTGTCAACCCTACCGAGACAACAGGAGTCGCAGTGTTCATTTTGAAATTCATCGGACCTCTCCTTGCCGATACTTTCTGGGGTGAGTGTACATCGTTTGTATACTTGTACTGTAAGATGTCTATGTATACCTGCCCTGTCTATATACATTGTTTGTATGCATTCATTATCCAGTGAGTTCTATCTTCCATCATTTTTAATTGCTGATGGACTATAGTGTAATGGCTAGCCTCTTTACGTGATGAAAAACCCTAGTTGTTAAAATGAAGTGAATATTGTAACGTCAATTGTCTATACACACAGAATCAATGAAAACACGTATGATGATTTTACTGAGTATTTCTCTCTCTCTCTCTCTCTCTCTCTCTCTCTCTCTCTCTCTCTCTCTCTCTCTGGAGTCAGTATAATGTAAAGAAAGGAAAAAGACAGATAGATCGAGAACAGTAAGATGTTATAACCAAGACAAAATTACCAAAGAACAATGGCGGGATCCTACAGAGGCCAGTGCCCTCCTTACCTCGGCCTGGCCAACTCTACTGGGAGGTCATGAGGTAAATGAGGTACGTAGATAGATAGATATAGAGAGATACATACATACATACATACACACAGACAGGTACACAGATAGATAGAAGTTCGGTAAAAGAGAAGAGAATAATTAGTAGTGAAGAGAAAGTCGATGGATGAGGAACTTTGTGGTGAAAGGTGAGAAAGTGAGAGAAGTGAAAGCAATTACAATCAAGTAAGAAAGAAAGTACTGTATACGTGGATGAATAAAGCAAGGTGGGGTGGCAGAAAGTCTCTCTCTCTCTCTCTCTCTCTCTCTCTCTCTCTCTCTCTCTCTCTCTCTCTCTCTCTCTCTCTCTCTCTCACTCTCACCACAACTCATAGTCAAAATACCAGTTAAAGGTAAAGTACTGACCTTGCCTCACTCTGATACGTGGTCACACAGGTGTCTCAGAGCAGGTTAGGTTAGGTCAGGTCAAGTTAGCCTAGGTCAGGGCGGTTAGGTTAGGATTGATATGGTTAGGTTTGGTCAGGTCAGGTCAAGTTAACCTAGGTCAGGGCGGTTAGGTTAGGTTTGATATGGTTAGGGTAGGTCAAGTTAGCCTAGGTCAGGGTGGGTTAGGTTAGGTTTGATAAGGTTAGGTCAGGTCAGGTCAAGCTAGTCGAAGTCAGGGCAAATTAGGTTTGATAAGGTTAGGTCAGGTTAGGTCAAGTCAAGTTAGCTTAGGTCAGGGTGGGTTAGGTTAGGTTATCTGCTTGTTTAATTTTGTGTATAATCCAGTTAGAACACTTGACAACTAGTGCAGTGGTGTGTGCGTATGTATGTGTGTGTGTGTGTGTGTTTGTGTGTGTGTGTATGTATGTGTGTGTGTGTGTGTGTGTGTGTGTATTGAAAAGCTCCGTCGTTATATAAGGGCTTGAACAAATATCAACTCTCCCTGCACACACACACACACGCACGCACACACACACACACACTGACACTCACACAGTTACAGGGTGGCAACGTCTACAGAACTCAGTAGTAACCTATACCACACTGTGTCTTATAGTGGCTATACTGTTCCTTAACCTTTTACCTCCACTGAGCACTGTTAGCTAAGACGAAAAATTCTTCTTTTTTTGTTTATATTTAACCTAACTTAACCTATCGTAACCTAACCTAACTTAATCTATCATAACCTATCGTGACCTAACTTAACCTAACCTATCGTAACCTAACTTAACCTAACCTATCGTAACCTAACCTATCGTAACCTAACTTAAGCTATCGTAACCTATCTTAACCTAACCTATCGTAACCTAACTTAATTTAACCTAACCTAACCTAACCTAATCCCTGAAACAGTGTTAGGGTGGTTAATTTTCATGTGGATTAAACTGGGGTGGTGATTCTTGAGGTGATATAATTTCTCAGATAAGTATTTATCTGGCCGTCTCTCACAACCTGGAGCCCATTTAGTAATGATATTCAACCATCGATCTGTTTACCTTATGACGTCTGCTCATTAAGTTCTCAATTATAATCTCTTAACAATACCCTGTAGAGCGGGTGGTTCCCTGTCCTTACCTGTGTTGATGTGTTATGCCTGACTAACACATTCCCAGGCTTCTTTGGTGTAGCTTGTTGTTTAGGATTCATATTTTATTTGCATTGTTTATGTTCCGCAGGTACAGACGATGACGCTACCCCAGCTGAATGTGGTTCAATACTAACGGCCGGTGCAGTAACTGTGAGTTGAGTATATCACTTGATTTTCTAAAGGTCATATACCCAATTAGCTGATATAAATTACCATATATATATATTAAAATGTTAATGTTAAATTGTTAAAGTTATTTGTATCATTTAGTTGATTTAGTTGTGTCAGTAAGTGTGTAATATACTAAAGGCTAAACAAAGGTGAACGTTTTAAAAAGTATCTCGTCAATTAAATGAGTGGTAAAATATCATCTATTACAGCTGTAGAGATATTTAACAACATGGTCACTCGTGTTATGTTCCTCTTTGAAATCTAACTTTTTCGCTGTAGTTCTGTAACGTTTCCCTGTTTTCCAGCTATAGTGTTAATCAAAGCCTTTATGTACCAGACAGTTGTGTTGACTGGGTCGGAAACTTCCTCACAGTAGATAGATAGATGGATAGATAGATAGATGGATAGATAGATAGTTAGATAGATGGATAGATAGATGGATAGATTCGTCATACAAGTTTACATTGATTCAAGATGTATATAGACAATGTAAGCATAAAAATGTACATTAACAGTAGTGGTATTCATTTTAATTGATTAAACCACCACTACCACCACCACCGCCACCTTCACCGCCATCCTCACCACCACCACCACCGCCACCTTCACCGCCATCCCCACCACCACCACCACCACCGCCACACCCTCACCACCACCACTACACCACCATCACTACCCTCATCCCCACCACCACCACCACTACCCTCACCACCATCACTACCCTCATCCCCCTCACCACCACCACCACTACCCTCACCACCACCACTTCCCTCACCACCAGAACCTCTGACCTTCCCGAGGTGAGTGAGGTGGGTGTGGGTGTGACAAAGTAGTCCCAGAGGTTGGCAGCACGAGGCTCTACACACCATCACCTGTACCTTTATCTGACGGAGACGCTGACGCTGAGGCTCTTGCTGGACCACGCTGAAGAAGAGCGCTGCCACAACACTCTCTATTCGCCCCGTTTTAAAGGGGATGGTAGATGGACATTTTTCTCACTAAAATGGAAAAAAAAGAAGTTATTTTGTTGACGGGGATGAACTTTGGAAAGGTGCCGTGTGGGTCCTGAAGTAAGTCTGCTGCAGGGAGACGAGCCAGGGGCACCAACACAAGCCAGGGGTACCAACGCCAATCCCGAGGACGGTGGAAGACAAGCCAGGGCACCAACACAAGCCAGGGGTACCAACGCCAATCCCGAGGACGGTGGAAGACAAGCCAGGGCACCAACACAAGCCAGGGGCACCAACATAAGCCAGGGCACCAACATAAGCCAGAGGTACCAACACAAGCCAGGGGTACCAATACAAGCCAGAGGCACCAACACAAGCCAGGGGCGCCAACACAAGCCAGGGATACCAACAAAAGCCAGGGACACCAACAAAAGCCAGGGGCACCAACACAGGCCAGAAGCACCAACACCATTATAGAGAACGGTGGGCTGTTTTAGATGGAGACAAATTCAATAACGTTAAAAGAAAAAGTTTCGGTTACAGGAAGAAAATTGAAAAATAAACTGTACTGTACTGGCTTATAGGGACACCACCCAAACAACCATTTAAGACGAAAGGTAAGATATATTGGGGTAAACTTTCGCTTTGTTAAATTAAAAACAAAATCTTTTGTTTGAGGATGACAGAAAATGATAAATGTTAAATTCATAAGTTAACTTTTCATGGTATTGCCAGATGTAGGAAGGACATTACTAAAGGGGATGGTTATGGTGTTAATGGCCACGGGAATAGAAAAATATATACAGTATACGGAATTTAACAGAATTATATTAATCGTGTCTTAAGATGTTCTATAGACCAAGAGTAAAAGGGGAGATTTTTAGGTGAATAGCATTTTCTTTTTTGAATAGGGCAGGTAAGACGTCTTCTAGATATTTGGGTTAGATAAAATAGCAACAGGGGGTAGATATCTCTTAGTTGTATAGAAAGATGGTGTTTGAGGCGTCTTCAGAGATCCTTTTGGTAAATAGAGAGACGTTGCTCTACATAGAAACGGGAAAGTAGCTTAGTCGAACGAAGAACTACTTAAGGCGTCGTAAATTTTCAAGAGGGAATGAATGTTCTTTGGTTAAATAAAAATTAAGGTTTTAAAGACAAGAATTAACACTAGAAATATTTGAACCAGCTTAAGATGTATTTGTTTATCAACCTCATGATTTGTTTATTTAGTCTGTGGGGCTGAAGGTTGGGTGCTGTTGGCGGGAACTAAGAAGCAAACATGTATATTCTCCTAAAAATACCTGACAATGTGCCAGTGTTGGTATAGTTTGGGCTTAACAATATCTCACTTATAATACTATCATAACATTGGCTGATATGTGTTTATAATACTGTACCATTATATTATTCAAACTTCCTTCTGGCGTTTTTAGCGTTTATTTATATTTTTTACGTTTGTGCCTTGTTTAGTTGCCGCCCGGAGCACCACATTCCTTGGGGTCATAATCCTTACTTCAAAGAATCAAGTTCTGAGAGTTATCAATGCTGGTTGCTCGAGACTCTGACCTCTCATTAGCTAATACCTGACGCTTATACACAGTCGACTGATAAGAACCTGCAGGGTGGCTCAGAGAAAAATGATACGCACTGTTTTACAGATTTTTCTTGGACATCGGGTATTACAATAGCAACATTGCGCTCACTTGTGGAAAACCTCACACATTTGTAGATCTAATTTTTTCCTCTCTCGTTCTTGTGTCGTATAAACTGTGCAACTGTGAATGTTCTAGCCTTTCTGAGTCACTTGTAACCTGGTACAGTAGCTGCCGTGTAGATGCTCTCGGTCAGTTGCAGTTTTTGTCATATCTCGGAGATAAAAAAAAACATGCTTCCAAATGTGCAGTACAGCTTCTTAAAGTCTAATTAGAAGCGAACTATCTTATTCTTCTTTAAATAATTTCACCACTTATCAGCTCACTAGCCGTTCGGGCAATTGGTCTGTTCTTTGTTACTATGTTATTAACTTCATTGCCCAGTGTTAATACAGGAGGAAACCTGAGTACCCGGAGACAGCCTGTAATATTTGGTATATATCACACTGGATAACACCCTCCTCACACTTACTAATGGTGCGGGCATGTGCGGGTCCTCTGTTACACAATGCTAGCAGTACTGGGCACGTACAATCGCCTGCACTTATACCATGTACAGTGCCTGATACAATTTGTGAGATGTGGCATATGTGTTTGTTTACATCTCACTTAAACTCCCGGAATAGCCCTAAGGAACCTCACAATAATAGCCAGTCTTAAGGATACTGTATATAAGCATTCCATAGAGTTGCCACATCTCACAAAACGCGCCAGTCACTGTACCAGGTATAAGTGCAAGCGATTGCACGTACAGGCTCTTGAATGTACCTGAACAAGTTCCAGTGTTGGTCAAGTTTAGACTTTAAGGAGCACCCACTCAACTATCACAAGTGCGCTCTTAAGCATAATATGGTTTTACGGGCCTTATAAGCCAGAGAGAATGAAGCAGGAAGGATGGTCCGCCACCAGCCACCGGAGATACCTGGAAGGTCGGGGTCTTAAGATGGTAAGAAGGCGCTCGTCTTGAAAATTAAAGGAGATACTCGTGTGATAAAAACACTGCTAGCACCAGCAATCCCTATCGTATGGTTTGGACCTACCTTATAACCTACGCCAGACGATCGTTCGCCCCCTCACCTCCTGGCGCTCTACGAATGGTAAATAAACACAGACAACTAAAAATCAAGAATGTGCTAACGGTAACGTATTATTTTTTTTATATGAAAAATCTCATAGATCAATATGCATTATTTGATATTAAAAGGAATATTAATTTCTATGTAATATTTATGTAAAGTAAACACACATTGAAGATAACTAAAAATAAGGAACAGTTTATATAAAAAGATTTACCTTAATGTTAAAGGGAAACTATTATAGAAATGTTGTAGCGTCAGATAACTGGAGGCGGGAAAAACATTTGTGAGAGAATAATCTTTTTGGCTTTAAGGAAGAATGGCGTATTGAAGGTTCTTTTGTTATATTCTTTTATAGGTAAAGAATTTGTGGTGAAAATAACTTAAAAATAGCTAATGGGGGATCATCTGAAGATTAGATACCCAAACTTAGTTCACCTGATGATTAAACACTCTAACAGTACCTGGGGTGTTGGGTTAGGTTATGTCATGGTACATTAGAGTAGTTTAGATTAGATTATGTTAGATTAGGTTATGCAATTCTGTTAGGTTGATAATCTTAGTTGAAATAAGCTGGGGTGCCTAATCTTCAGGTGATCCCTAATCTGTAATAAACATTGTCTTGAGATGTAGTAAAATGAATACTATATTTTGTGGTGTTGAGTACTGTACGTGGCTCTCGTTAAACAGGACGGCGATAAGTGGCAGTTCTCAATGCTGCAGGAAGTCAATGGGAAATTCATCCATTAGGCTAAGCCGATAAGACTCTCTCTCTCTCTCTCTCTCTCTCTCTCTTTGATCAGTAAATAAAATCAAAGTGGTATGTTTAAGAAATACAACTTATTTATTTGACCCCGGAATATTTAACACTATATCAGTAACAGTGTCTAAAAAAATGTATACACCCTATTTACAGACTTTCGTGTAGATCGCGTGAAAACTTGTATTACTTCATATTGTCCTCACTTGTAGGAGACCTCGCAATTCAACAAATGAGAACAATATTGCTCTTGTAATACATCAAGCGTTTACGCGATCTCCCCGAAAATTGCAAATTCTGAGACCAGTATTATTTAGAGTGTAAATCATAATATAATATTCATAAGTATCAGTAAAAGTACAGATTTAAGTGCAAAGAACAAGTACAATAATTACATTAAAAGTCGATACGTGTACAGATTTAGGTATGTACAAAGAACTGTTACAGTACAATTATTCCATTACATCCTTCACTCATATAATAACACTACACTACAGTGGTACAGTACATACTGCAGTAATGTATTTACACAATGCCATCATGGTTGAATGTATACTCAGTGATCTCAAGGGCTATTTTGAACCCTAGTACTGTTCCGTCTTCCACAGCTTGAGAGGACAGCCTGTTCCATCTCAAGTTGTGGAAGCGAGAACAGTACTCGGCTTCAAAGGAGCCCTTGACCTGACTCCCAAGAACAATGAAGGGATCCTACACACTCCACTGTCCTCTTCCTCGAGTCATGGCCACCTCTAAATTAGGTAAAATAGGTAAATTAAATAAGAACGAAGATATTAGCTGGAAAAAAGCTTATGGTAGCTTTGTTTGGTTATTGGTCGAATCGAATTTCTGTTTACCATTACTGTATTTGCATACCTTTACTATGTTCATTGTTTGTACACTTGTTCTGTCTATATGCACAGTATACCTGCATTGTCTGTGTGTACAGTAAATGCACTGTCTTTGGGTATTGTATACTGTATATGTCTATTGCATTGTCCATATACAATAGCTGAATTAAAAACTAAATATATGACGTCTCACGACTTTAATGAAAATACGATTTATAGAAACTCGTGTTGGAGTTTGGTAGATCATGATTAGTGTTTAATGAAAAAAAAACTGAATTAACTCCCCAAAATATACTAGCAACCGAAGATTATATAGCATAAAATTAAATATCTGAGAATTATTGATAAATGTACGTACTTACTACATTAACTATGTGAGCGATCATGAGATGTGAGAAACAATAAGTAAAGGTTGTCATACGCTATATTAAAGTTTATTTTATAGCCATACTGAGAATTCATTAATCATGGACAAGGAGTGAAGACTGAGGAATGTTTAGGTATTGGTGGGAACTGAAGTCGGATTGTGTGAGGCACTTGTTTCTTAGACAGGAGACCTAGAAACAGTACTTCGTCAGTGGTAGATGTTAAAGCGTAGTTGTTTCCTCAGCCTCGTGTTGAGAATACAGGTAGACAGAGGCAAAAGGATTAATTTACGTAAGATGAAAACATACCCGTAATAAGTTTGTCAAAATTCGGAATTATTTACAAAATAAAACAAACTAGGCAAACACTGCAGAAAATAATGCGTGTGTTCCAATAATAATAATAATAATAATTACACACACACACAAGATTTTCTATAGACCATGCAAACACCCATAATTAATTGAACACCCCTAACGTTACATGGGGGGTTTGGTTAGGTCAGGAACTCAGGATAGGCTAAGTTAGGTTGCATTTTTTCTCTATATAAATATGGCAATTCCGCTAATATTTTGTAAATGTATATACTGTGCATGCGTACATTAATGTAAACTTATATGACGATTTTACTTAATATCTCTCTAAATTCAAACCCAGACAATCCCGGGTTCAGACAGCTGCTTAATTTCAAGCTCTAAATCTAAATGATAAAAAAATATATATATAAAAAGAATTCACATGAACCTGGAATTGACAAGTGATACTGATCCCCCGAATCCCTGGTGCTAATGAAACCGGTGATCTAAGTAAAGAATCATATTTTTTTAAATAATTTATGGTATTTATATTGATTATGACTTAAATTTGTCTAAAAACTTATGGCATTTATATTGATTATGACTGTCTTCATATAAAAAACTGTACAAACATTTTACTGGATTTGGAAGATGTGAGTTTGGAATGCAGAGGAATTAATAACTAATATCTCTTAAATAAAAGTATTATTGCAAGTCGTTTTATGGGTGTTATGGTGTTGGTGGTACAGCGGTAACGCGCGTATCTCTCACAAATAGCTATAACAAATATATATAATATAAAACAGTATAATAAAAATCTGGTGTAAGAAGCTCTACATACAGTATGGTTCTATTGTTTGAATCATAGGGACGGTAACGAGTTCGAGATCTGACGTCATTTGACACATGACGTCATCACCAGGTCTCGGGGTTGCCTTATCAAACATCAGTTTTCAGATAAGCAAACATGATATAAAAAAGTGCAAATTACTATATTTGTATTACAATATGGAAGAGTAAACTTCTTTTAACTTTACGAACTTGGAATTAAAAAATATATATATATTTTGGGGGGATTAGGTCATCAATTGTATTTTAATTATATTTAAAATTATCTCCGGTAGTCAAAAAAAAATATTTAAAATCGTAGTAAATTTACATAAGAGATCAACGTTTAGTAAAATTAACTGGGAAAAAACTTATAGTTGAGATAAAATCCGCCAGATGCCAGCACGTTATGGACCCTCGCAGAGCCGTAGATCCTTGCGTACTTTTAATTTTTACTTATATCCTCTACACCACTGATCGGCTCGTTAGCCGCTTGGGCCTGTAGTGGATTCCTCCCCTACAAACGCTGTTTGTCGCTGACAGCCGACCCACGAATCCAGCCGCACTTCGTGTCTAGGTCAACCAGCGCCACCTTACACGACTGAGGTCAACTATTAAGCCACGCCTACCCCCGCTATATAAAACCTGACCTCGTGGTGACCTACCTCTTCCTACCTCCAGCCAGTCTTCAAGCAACACCTTGTAGGGGTATGCGATATTGGTTCACACTCAGGATGGGATGGGGAAAGGAAACTCACAATGTGCTCACTGTATACATTGTATTGGATGTACAATGCAGCTTGGTGCTGGGTAGGTAGCATGGTAATAAGCGTTGAGTAGAGAGAGCTGGGTGCTGAGGGTGCCCAGAGTGAGGGCACGCGGCTTGAGGGACGCCAAGGTCGCTGGCGGGAGCGGCAGCCACACGGCTGGCGCGGAGGTGTTGCTTGCTGGTGGCACTGGGTAGAAAAGAGAGTGGTCACAGCGGTGTCAGTCCTTATAAGGCGGGGGTAGGCGTGGGTAGATAGTTGACCCCCGCTCCGTGGGCGGCGCTGGAGGCGTAGGCTGGGGAATTCGAGAAGGTTCGGTGCTTGTAGGGGAGGAATCCACTACAACCTCCTCCTCCACTCCTGCCTGGCGACCCTCGCTCCCGCCGGCGACCCACAAGCTGGTCCTCCTCTGAGCATCCTCACCAACCAGTTCTCTCCACTCAACGCTTGTAACCATGCTGCCTTCCCAGCACCAAGCTGCATTGTACATCCAATACAACATGTAAACAGAGAGCACATTGTGAGTTTCTTTTCTCCATCCCATCCTGAGTGTGAACCAACATCTCGTACCCCACAGGGCGGTCACGTTGTGGGGTATCAGTGAAAGAGAGCTGGTTGGTGAGGGTGCTCAGAGGAGGACCAGCTTGTGGGTCGCCATGCTCTCCGGCGGGAGCGAGGACCGCCAGGCAGGCGGAGGAGGAGGAGGTGTTGCTGGCTGGTTGGTGTGGGTAGAAAGAGACAGGTCACCACGAGGTCAGGTCTTAAATAGCGGGGGGTAGGCGTGGCTTAGTAGTTGACCCCAGCTCCGTGATGTATGGCGGCGCTGGTTGACCTAGACCACGAGGCACACACTGTGGAATTCGTGGGGTAGGCTACTCAGCGACAAACAGCGTTTGTAGGGGAGAAATCCACTACAACGTCTCTGTTACGCACTTTTTGGCAAGTACTGTACTGGGCATGAACTGACTCCTGAATGTATCCAAACCTGCTCCAGTGTTGGTCTTGAAACAACTCGCACTTGGTGCCGTCACAACACTGTGGCACCCTAACATTTGTTCCAAGAGTTCACAATTCTGACTCCGAAAAAAATTGCACCTCACACTTTTCTGGACTTGGTGCTTCTTCAACCTTGAGCTGTGTCACCTCCTTAGTTTTCTATTTTCACTCTGCCTACTCGTTTAAAGCTATCGTTTTTGTTCTTTTTTCCGTATACTGTAAAGATTTTATTTCTTCTTTTGAAATTTACTTCACTGTACAGCAAGCTTCGGATCACCTACAGATTAGCCCTAAATTTCACCTGATGATAATAATATTAATATATATTCAGTAAAATCATCACACAGGTTTACAATTGCTTTGGCATGTATATAGACTATGAGAACATGCAGTTCAACATGTACAGTATAGAAAATTATGTGTGGACTATCAGAGGTTGACGGGTCACTTCAAAATTATATGCTTTATTTACTGTATTTTAATTACTTATATCAGACCTGCCGCCTTTGTTATAGAGAGGTGTCACTGTGGCAGATTTAGTTCAACTGATAAGTATCGGTATTAAAGGAAAGGTAATTAGATCTGTTATTTTTTTGGTGTTTTTAATATTATGACGCCATCCCTTAAAAAAAAATATAACCTTATGCCACTTAAGTCATGACTGGCAATTTGAATAAAAACACCAATCTGAATTATTTTTTAAGTCACTGGTCTTTAATATTAATTAATTACATCCAATGGAGGTTTCTATATACTGTATCGTAGTTTTGTCTTTGTCGTCGCTCCATAGTAAAGGAAGGAAAGAGTTTTGCCTTCAGAGCTTCTCATACTCTCTTCGTTTGGTGTTGATGTAAGAGTAAGTTCACTCTGCTAGTCTTTAAACACATTTTTGTAATTTTTTAGCCTTTTATATTATTACACTCAGATGTGTAATTTACTGGACATAAGGAGTGTTGGTGTGAGGCGAGGGTTGTGTTGTGGTGGTGGAGATTACTTGGTGGTGAGAAATGAGGGAGACTTGTGGTGACACGTGTGACGGCTGTCTGCCCCTTCATTGTGATAGATTTATTTTAGTAGTTGGTTTTAATTACGATGCTTATGGTGTATGGTTTTGAAGGTAAACGTGAGTATAATGTATAGTTTGATATGTTTGGAGTAAATAATGCAATATGCCTTATATTTTTTGTACCGGTATTTCCTGTATAAAGTACAATGTTTATGATTTTAATAATGTAGATGGTATAACTTCAGTGTGGACTGCGAGTTGAGCAATGTATTTATCCGATGGTTTAGACAATTTTATGACACTTCTGTGACGTTTCCCTTGCAAAATTACTTCAATATTACCTGGGGAACCAGCCCCCTGGTTAGGTTAGGTAGTTATAGGTCATTTGTGACAAAAACAGAAAAAAGTTTCTTAAATTTGTCTAAACCATTGGAAAAAACAATACTCAACTACTTGGGCATATTGCTCGATAATGCAGCTTTACCTATATATATATATATATATATATATATATATATATATATATATATATATATATATATATATATATATATGCAAGTAAATCACTGTAGGTGTGCGTGATCTAGGTATATGCTGGTTATCAGCATATATATATAATATATATATATTTATTATATAATTTGACAGGCGACTTGTGGTGTAATGGTCAGCATGCTCGCCTCGCAAATAAGTGGTTCCGGATTCGATCCCCGGGCAGGGTGAAACTATGGGCCAGTTTCTCTATGCCCTTTGCCTCTCTACCCAGCAGTAATTGGGAACCTGGATGTTAATTTGTGGATCGTGTTCTGGGGTAATGGTTAGCCTAGGTGGCCCTTGGGCCGGCCCTCCTCGTTATACGAGGGGCCACCATTATTATTCCATATAGTTTGATATGTGTGGAGTTAATAACTTAGTCTGGTTGTTTTATTTTAATTTGACATTGGATAAAGGTATGGCAGCTGTTTGTTCTAGCTTTGGGATTTAAAAGTTAGGTAAGGTTTTCAAAGTACAGTACCTGTACTGTAGAGTTGTGCACTGCAAGCCTCAACTGACATCATGGACCAACCTATAGTCGTTATCTAATGACTTTTCAGAAAATCAATTAAAAAATGGGCAATACTTTACAGCAGTTGGTCCCTTCACCAACAACTTGATGAAATAATTCTGTACTGTAGAAGATACATTCTTCTTTACCTGGTGAAAAGTCTTCCAAAATGAGAAGGAATAAGTTTTACATATAAGAACATAAGAAAATAAGGAGTCTGCAATAGGCCGGTTGGCCTGTGCATGGCAGCTCCTGTCGAGAGTTACTACCACTTTATCGTCCATGAATATCTAGCTTCCTTTTAAAACTTTCCAGCGTTCCAGAAATTACGACAAAGTTGCTAAGCTTGTTCCACTCGTCCACCATCCTATTGTGAACCAGTGTATATTTTGTCTTGACTGGTAGGTTAAAACATCTTAATTTGCACCCTCTCAAGAGACGTAGAGTGAGGGGCGACCTGATAGAGGTGTATAAATGGAAGTCAGGGCTAAACAGAGGGGACATTGCAAAGGTACTCAAACTATCCAACCAGGAGCGAACTCGTAACAATGGTTTTAAATTAGACAAATTTAGATTTAGGCGCAAAATAGTTAAACACTGGTTTGGAAACAGAGTAGTGGATGAATGGAACAAGTTACCAAATATCATCATTAACTCGAATACGCTGGATAGCTTCAAGCATAGGTTGGATGCTTATATGGGCAATAGGGATTGGGTGTAAACGGGACTGTCCAGTATGGGCCAACAGTCCCGCTGCAGTTTCCTCCATTCTTATTTTATCGTGAATGCATTCTGATTCGCTAATCGTTCATTACCGGCAAACAACGCAAGAACTATGTGTGATTGTGACCCGCGGCATTTGGCATTTATTTCGCTGCGAGTCGATCATTGTGTAGCTGTAAACATACCTAACCACATTTTTGTGCATGGAAACTTATAATAAAAGAGGCCATATTTACTAGAATCTAATAGAACCTAACCAACCAAAAAAACCTACCCAACTCCCTAGCCGGGGGGTATCACCTGTCATATTAAACAGAAAGTACTTAGCCAATGAAAGCACAGACAGCAAAATAGTTATTAGGAACTTAGTCGGTCACAGTAAAATAGCCACTGCTGTACATACAGTATATTATTTGAGGCACCAGTGACATAAGCAAGTTTGCGGATGACACCAAAATAGGGCGGCAGATTAATTCAGGGCAGGATGCAAATGCACTACAGGAGGATTTAAGTAAACTGCAGGAGTGGTCAGACAAATGGCAAATGAAATTCAACACCAGCAAGTGCAGCGTACTTAATAATGGTAGAACAAATACTGTCAACGTATACAGCCTTAACAACATCAACCTAGAAAGGTCGACCTGTGAAAGAGACTTAGGGTACGGCCTAGAAAACAGTGCGTTAATGTTCGAAATAAGGCAAACAGTATTAGGTTTTATATCTAGAAGTGTAAGTAATAAGAGTGCAGAGGTCTTATTGCAACTATATCTTACATTAGTCAGGCTGCACCTCAATCATGCGGTTCAGTTCTGGTGCCCTTATTATAGAATGGATATCAATTCACTGGAGTCGGCGCGGCTAAGAATGATGAAAATGATTCCGGGACTTGGAAACCTTCCATATCAAGATAGGTTAAAGAAACTAAACTTGCATTCCCTAGAACGACAAAGAGTGCGGGTGAGATATGATAGAAATATTTAAGTGGGTGAAAGGAATCAATATAGGCGATATAGATAAAGTTCTTATAATATCCGAGCAGGATAGGACTCGTAGCAACGGATTTAAGTTGGATAAATTTAGGTTTAGGAGGGAGATAGGAAGGAACTGGTTCACAAATAGGCTGATAGACGAGTGGAACAAGCTTAGCAACTTTGTCGTAATTTCTGGAACGCTGGAAAGTTTTAAAAAGAGGCTAGATAGATTCATGGATGATAGAGAGTGATAGTAACTCTTGACAGGAGCTGTCATGCACAGGCCAACCGGCCTATTGCAGACTCCTTATTTTCTTATGTTCTTATTTCGGTCATCCAGCGAGTTTTAGGTTAAGTTCGGTTTTGTTACAAAATGATTACTGTACTGTAATTGAACATAAAATGAACAAACTTAACCTACATTATGAAGTTAGGTTGTTTCATTTTATCACATGTAAGTCTTAAAATGTAGCCGTAGCTGGTAAGTTTTTGGAAGTGTCTAAATGTAAAGAATGGATAGGTAGTCTAATGGTTGATCATCATATAGTGTTGTTCATGGCGGTAAAAAATAAAAGAATGAAAAACATATTCCACATTTTATGGGCTTTTAGTGAGGAATAAAATAAGGGCCCCATAAGCACAAAAGATAAAATATTACTACTGCCCTAACATTATGGTATATTATAGATATGGATAAATTATAAAAGAAAATTTTTGCTTTTAAACATACACTAGCCTTGATTTAAACTGATAAGGTTTGACTGTCTTACTTTGAATAGGCATTGCCAGTACTTATCATTTTAAAGATTTTTTGGTTCAATTTGGACTTATCCTTACATTTCGTCTTTCAGTCCCTAAGTCCGTATCGCCGGTGCCTTAATCCACGAATTCAAGATGGTTAGGGTGGACAAATCAACATGGAAGGCTAATTACTTCACCAAGATTACCAAGCTCTTTGATGACTACAACCGTTGTTTCATCGTTGGTGCTGACAATGTGGGGTCCAAGCAAATGCAGGAGATCCGCATGGCTCTGCGTGGCTGTGCCGTCGTGCTCATGGGCAAGAACACTATGATGCGCAAGGCCATCCGTGGTCATCTGGAAAACATCCCTGCCCTAGAGAAGTAAGTTGTCATTGTAGATACTGCATTGATGAGTCCCTTCCAGATATAATTATTGAAGCTTATTTGGAATGTAGCGGAATAATCTACAATAGACATTAGGTAATCAAGGCTGACTGGGGAAGAGATCAGTCTGGTTGTTCCAGGTATGAAATAGAAACTTCTTAGTTGTTTAGGAACATCTATTGTATTGTACTTTACTTGTTGCATCTACACTCCACTAAACATGAACAAATACTGTACATTTATACACAAAAACCTCGAGAGGTAACACAACTCGTGCAATTAAGGATGGGAGTGCCTGAAAGGCCATGGTGGGTGTTGGCAAGATCCATATAGTGACAGAAGGATGAGCGAGTGGAGGGAGGATCCTGATACAATTCATGTTTATTGTAAAGCATGGCAGGTCTCTAATAATGTCTCTTAGGGGAGGGATATTTGGTCAGGGAGGGCCAAGGCGTTTGTGATAGTTGGAATCCTGTAGGTGGAGGTCTTTAGGCATGTAAGGATGTAGTGAGGGAGGGTATGAGTTGGGTTGTCCACAAAGCTAAGCTCAGGCATAGTCTCATGTACACTATTGGGCCCAAGTCAGGAGTTGATACTCTTTGTGGTGGCGGTTGTCATCTCCGGCACGCTACGTACCAGTAGTGTGTTAGCCTAATTGAATTTTAAAAGTGGCATCCCTGTAGTGAGGTGGTTAATTGGTGTGGTCAACATACTCTAATTTAAAAGTTTGATGAACACGTTACTTTTTATCTTTTGTTTGGGGAATAGTTTTTCCTGGAATTAAAACTCCAGAAGACCTAACAATGTACAGCACAGTATTACTAAAGATATACAGTAGTCTAGTAAAAATTACTCTTCATAACCATTCATTATTTCTTGTTTGTAATGTTTATCTGCTTATTTCATTTAAACTAACATTTTCCAGGAACATATTTGTTATAATAAATGAGGACTCTGTACAGTACAGAATTTGTATGTGCACAGGAATACAGTTTGTGTTTAAATTTTTCTGAGTGTGTTTGTGTTAAAGTTTGTGTCTGCAGTACTTATATTTTAATGCTTTAGTGTAAATGTTCAGGTAGACTTGGTGATGGCAAATTAATAGATGTCGACCACCAAGCTGCTGGTTGCTTTTTCGGGGTGTACGGTGTACCCCACTACAAGCTAAAAGTCCATCTGGGAAGATAAATGCTAAATTTCTCAATTTGGGAAGAACCATCCAAGAAACACTTCCGGAAAGTTTCAGCACATTTGAGCCAGGTGGACTTAAGGGTGTGTGGGATTTGTGTTAATTACAGCACAACTCTAAAAGCTGGTATCAGTTATTCCACTAAACATATAGAGCAGTTCCTGCAGCTCTTGAGTAGATATTCTGAATGTAATGAGGTTTCCGCCATGCACCAGGAGTGTAGTTGGATCTACAACTTACCTTTAAGTATAAACTGTTCTGGTGAAACTGTTTTGATATTGTTGTGTTATTACTAGTAAAATAATTCACTTGTTGGGGATAATCTAATTTTTATTAATAATTAGATGGTGTTTAAGTTTATTGAAGATCAAATTACGGGGATGAGTTAATGTGGCAAATGTTATGAGAGAGTTGTGAAGATGAGAATGTTGCATCGTTGTATGGAGGCTACTGTAAAAATCTATACCGGTACACTAAAAATCCTAAGTACCGGACCACCAGCGTAACGACACAGACGTAGGGGAAATTATTTTAAAATTTGAAAAAAATTCTTGCCGGTCATTGTTTTTACTGTACTTAGTTAATCCTATATAATATAAAAACATCTGAAACCACTTTTCACAATCTTTCTCTCTGGCAGGCTGCTTCCTCATATTGTGAACAATGTGGGATTTGTGTTCACTAATGAAGACCTTGTTGAGGTGCGTGACAAGCTGTTGGCCAACAAGAAGAAGGCCCCTGCTCGTGCTGGAGCCCTTGCTCCTTGCCAAGTGACGCTCCCAGCCCAGAACACTGGACTTGGTCCTGAGAAGACTAGTTTCTTCCAGGCTCTGCAGATCCCCACCAAGATTTCCAGGGGTACCATTGAAATTGTCGTAAGTTGATGAATGAAGGTTTTCACATTTTATTAAACATTAAATTCAATGGATAGTACCCTATGCAAAATACTAGTAGATTGGAAAGATATTCCCCTGATTCATACTCATGTCTACTTAACAATTGCCTTTGAAGTGTCTTGAATGTTTCATTGGCATTCTAGCCCACAGAATTATAAGTTCCGCAATCAGCAAATATATTGTGAAGGTATGACTCATCATACGAAAAGAAATCTTCACTTATATGTACTGTACTTACATTATTGGAATGTTTATCTTTTACATGCTCTGTTTGTTTACTTACAACTTTCTTAAAATGATTACCATTAGATATTCAATTTAACAGAATGATATTCAGCTGATGAGGGAAGGAGACAAGGTGGGTGCCAGCGAGGCCACACTTCTTAACATGCTGAACGTGTCTCCCTTCACCTACGGTCTGGTGGTGGAGCAAGTGTATGATGAAGGCACTGTCTTTTCACCAAAGGTGCTTGACATCACTGACGAAGATCTTACCCAGACATTCCAGGAGGTAAGTTGTAAATCTAAAAAAAAAAAAAATAACCAATAATATTTCTGCATAAAATAAGTCTGTAAAGATACTAACCCTTTTAGGGCAGTTACCACCTAAATACTATTTGTCTTTAATATTAGAGCTTAGTCTTGAACTTGGCTCTTTCCTTGTAAAGCCTGAAGATCTACATGGATTTATGGAAGACAGCTTAAGGTTCACTTGACTGGAGCCTATTGTGAACTTTGCATGCTGTGTAAATTGCTAGGGAATTTATCAAAAGTATTTCATCCAGTGCTCCAAATTGTAAAGACAGAAAAAGTAGTACAGTACTTTTTTGGGGGGATTGTACCTTTGTTTTAAATTACTTTACATTTAAGACTTTAATAGAATGTACTGTACAGGGTTTGTGTTCAGTGACATAAAAGGTGGGAACAAAAGTACAGTAATTAATATTAATATATCACTTTCAGGCTCTGGGCAGGGTGGCTGCTCTATCACTTTCCATCGGCTTCCCCACAATTGTGTCTGTGCCTCACTCTGTTGTGAATGCATTCAGGAGGCTGCTGGCAATTGCTGCAGTTACTGACATCACCTTCAAAGAAGCAGATACGCTTAAGCAGTACTTAGCAGTAAGTTGGATCTTGCATTGTTGTTAATAATTAAGGTTAATGTTTTTATGTATTGGCTAATATAATTATTTTGTATTATGTATCCAGATTGAGTGATTTTGGATCTATATCAAGCTGCAGTTTAACATGATACTCAGTTATCCACATAGTATATGGCATAAATCTTAGTTTATTGGGAGAAGTGTTAGCTTACTTCTAGCCAGGCATTTCAGTCATTAGGCCGTCAGTAAAACACTAAAGGTGAATGAGGTTATTTTACATTGGACTTACTTTTTGTACCAGAAGAGGATCTTACAGTACTGGTAATGAAAGAATTCTTGGCAAGTCTAGTTTTCTCTGGCCGGTGCACATCTTTCCTGGGATTGGATGGTGAGACTAAGTACTGTATAAGTATATTACAGTCGACCCTCGTTAAAACGGACTAATAGGGGGGAAGGGTGTCCGTTTTAGCCGATTGTCCGAATTAACCGATTTAGGGGTTAATATTGCATTATACAGCTATGTGTATGTTTATTTGAGTGCCCCGTCATAGGAGTCCATTTTCTCTCACTTCAGCACTCCTGAGTCGTCCGTTTTCTCTTAATCTTAGAGTGCACCAGAGACTGTTATATCTTAGTAGTGACACAGAATTTGATATTGCAACTGGGGTTGCAATTGTTGAGGCAACTTAGGTATGTCTGATTACAGTTGGAATATTCAAGATCCATTGTGAGTGATGTTTAAAGCTTCAACTGTCTTTATGGTTGGTAAAACTTGTCAAGTCTGTCAGTCTGAATGGCATGTGTGAGGCCTTGTGTTTGTACAACCGCTAAATATATAATGTTATGATAATTATCAGAAACACATAGGCATAATGAGGTTTATTACAAAGTGATGAAAAGGATACTGTACAGTGGCTAGTCCACAAAACATGTAGCCATGTCTCTTTATTTGAGTGCCCCGTCATAGGAGTCCGTTTTCTCTCACTTCAGGACGCCTGAGTCGTCCGTTTTCTCTTAATCTTAGAGTGCACCAGGGACTTTGTTATTTCTTAGTAGTGACACAGAATTTGAAATTGCAACCCCAATTGCAAATGGGACAATCCCAGAACCAGAAATTTGATATGGACAGTTCAGATTTCGTCCGATTTATCCGAAATCCGGATTAAAGGGGTCCGAATTAACGAGGGTCGACTGTATATGAAAAGTTTTGGGGACAAGGCTTTTCTTGTTCCTTATAGGCTATGGTGTATTTTGAAATGGTAAATACATGTCTGTTTCCTCTCCATCACTGTCTTAATCACCCGATACTATATTAGTGCCACTCAAATCAAGCAACTTTTGAAGAATAGCGCTAGTGTTGAGGATGTGGAGGATCATGGTGGGTCACAAGATGTCAAAAACTATGCATCCATCATGGTAGCTGGACCATTAGACATGAGACAAACATTACGTGAGAGTTGAGCTGCCAAGTACAGTACAGTACTTCGTCCCGCCTGGACTTTGAAACTATACCACTAAAATTATGGGTGTGGGGGAACATCACCCTGGGTTGCTATGGTGAATGTAGAGGAACATCACCCAGGCTTTAAGGGTTAAAGAAGCAACAAGAAAATAGTTAAATGGTTTGGACAAGAAATTCTGAATTTTGCTTTGTCCCCAGGACCCAAGCAAGTTTGCTGCTGCTGCTGCTGCGGCTGCTCCTGCTGCTCCTGTTGCAGAGGCCCCCAAAGAAGCGCCTAAGGTGGAGGAGGAGGAAGAAGAGTCTGATGAGGACTACGGTATGGGTCTCTTTGACTAGACGCCATTGATGGAGTTGGTCAAGAATAAATTCAAGAAATAAACACGTCTCTTCTTTCCCTAAAAATTTTTTAAAGTAAATAGTGAAATTTCAAGGGTGTGGCCCTTTTATCTTGTTCTAGCCTATGACTTCAAATAATTGTACTTTGTATTGAGTTATTAATTTATTGTTTCTTTTGGAGAGAATATTTGTACTAGACATAAGTTTAAAATCTATTTGCTTACAAGAACCAATGAAAAAGTATAATCCATGTGGTTGTTTAGCAGTTATCAAAACTAAGCTATTTCATCACCATTACTAGTTGCAAGTACTCTTCTTTGGATGAAGGATGTGATTAATGAGAACTCGTGCATTTTATAAATGTATTTAAGCTTTCCCTATTCCACCCCTGTATGGGCAAAACTGAACACAAGGAATACGAGACTTAGGTGTTTATGTTCACCACTGTTCTTACAGCTAAAATTAGTTGGTGTTTGCCTCCATTGGTGAGTGTGCAATTAAATTTACAACAATTTTAAACAACAAAATAAAGTACATAGTGGTGTTCTGTGATATACATTTTTAGCGATTGAATCACAAAGATAAAGCTAATTTAGAATAACGGGACATGTTCTGTTGACATTGATATCAATAATTTTCACTGGGAGACAGGCTCCCAAGACACGTACATACAATGCTGAACCACTGAATATTATTAACGCTGGCAATGCGCAAAATTTGACTACAGTATAGGACAAGACCACCAAGAACTGTTCCAGAAAGTAGTGAGGTAAACTGCAGGGGTAGGATATTAGCTGACCATTGATTGTTAGTTTATACCAGGGCTCTGAAACCTTGTATAGTAATTGGCCACATTACAAACAATTCGGTATTTGGCCTCGGCCATCACTTATGCAGTGCATGTATGTATTAAATTCAGAAAAGTAAAACATGAAATTGGTAATTAAGAAATAGAACTAAATATATTCAGACAAGTACTCTACTGGTATACAAAATTTAAGTAACCTAATAGGTGGCAATAAATATTGATGCAGGAAAATATTCACATCCAACGATACAAAGGAAATGGTTACCAAGACAAAATTCGACTGTGATCTGTGAAATCTGGCTTAAATTTAGTAAAACTTTCCACTAGTTCTTTTTTGTGATGGTTATTGAGCTTTGAGTGGGATAGTATATACAGTACTACTTTACATAAGTGTTTGCAACAGTAGGTTGACTCAAATATTGGGAACACTGTGAAGTTACACTTTTCAGTGGGACCTAATTCATTTTTTCTGAAGGTCCAACAAATGCTGGTTTTGTGAGTGTTTCAGGATATTGACCTGTAGATCCAGGAGCTCCGAGTGTGCCTCACTAAAATTTACCTTGTTTATGTAAGTATGGCTGACAATGACATTGTGTTTTAAAAGGAAAGGATTTGAAACAAATGAGAACAAATTTGTCTTAGTTTGAATCTCAGAAACCTATTTCAACTGAAATCATTACAAGCATTTTATGTACTTGAGTTTGTGTGTAGTCAGTTGCCAGGTATAATGTTGCATCAAGTGTTCAAATAACCTTACCTTATTACTTTACAGGAGGTTGCTCATCACATATTTTGATGCCATCATGCTGGCTGCAAATATAAATTTTTGGGCCACATGTGGCAGGAAATATGAGGGTTGTGGATCCCTGGATTATACTGTAAACTGTTACACTGTACCACATACCTTATGTGAAACTAGGTTGTGCTGGCCTGGCTTCCCTTTAGGGACAGTGCAGTTACAATACATGGAGGCAGGTGGTCAGCACTGCACCTGACCACTTTCATTTCCACAAGCTAAATTAAGGTGCCCTGGTCTTGAACCAGTGACCCTTCTTAGCCTTGGGACAGGAGGCGAGCGCTGTACCCAACCAGCTGCTGCACCGCTAGCTGACAGTTGTCACAATAAAAGTGTAAATATATAATGCATCCCATAGCTGTTACAACTTGAACTTTGACAGGTGTGGCAAATGTGTGATTATGAAGATAGTTTAAGGAAAGGTTTTGCAGTTTCAGTGTAACTTAAATGATTAGGAGGCATTGTTGAAAATAACAATAAAGTACAGTATCATTAGGCGATCTATTCAAAATGTTTTAATTGTTTACCAAATTTGAGCCAAGTTGAGCCAAATTAAATTGCAAACAAAACACCCTTTTGGGAGGGTATTTATTGGATAGAAGAGGTGGTAATCTTTGGAGTCTGTGAATGCCAGTGCCTGGGAATACAGAAATCAATGAGTAAGAACAGTAAGATGAGGAACAGCTCAATTTTGGGTAAGTTGCAGCATTTACATTACAATGTACTTTCATCTGTAGCTTGTATGAGAGCAACAAGCCAAAGTCTTGGATTGGTTAAATAAAACTTAGGTTATGAACATAAAGAGTTGGTTTAGTTTTTCATCTTGTAGTTGTGAAAAGATTATTATTGCGAATAATGGTCAAAGATGTAAAATCTAATACAGTATTGTGTAACTCTCGATCAATAAGTAAAGTTTAGGCCAATTTAGGTGGTTGTATATTAAGAATAACTAATTAAATTACGCTATAGATGATGAAACGCAGGCAAGTCATTTTATATCAAGCAATGAACCTCGAAAAGCATTGCCAGGTTTAGAGCTTTTATAAATCTAAAGTGTTTTCTCAATCTGATTTTATGTCCAGCCTCATGCCAAGTGGCATTTGCCTTTTATGTCTATGTGAGGGAAATTTTTAACGTATGGGGGTATATATTTCACTAATATTTTAGTTTATCTTTATTTTTGTTCTGGAAAACGACTGAGTAAGATTATTATGCAAAATATTATCCTTTGATGTTACGAAAATATTCAGAGTTGTGTTGCTAATATTGTTGGTGCTGCCATCTGTAGCAGCTAATAAACACTTAGTAGATAATCTCACTTGGACAATCTTGTCATTCTTCCAAATATGATTCAACATAATTTTGGCAACGACTCAAAATAAACGTTAAATAGCACGAAGTACCGTACTTGCCCAGTTACGAGTATGATTAAATATGAACGAGGCTTACATAGAAGCCACTATTTCTTCGAAGCCAGCCAAGAGGAACCATGTGGTGTACAATTGGCTAAGTTGACCAGCTGTGCTTATCACAGTCATGGACGAGCTGCTTGGCAAGACCTCATGAGGACATCAGTTTTACAATTGGATTTACAAGTAACGAGAATTACGAATTATGCCTGTGTACAGTGAGAAATTTTTAATCGTAAATATTATTACATTTTACCATAATTACCTGATCCTAGACCAAGCGATCCAACAGTTAATGAATGCTTAAAAATGATATAAGTTTCAAGTGAAAGTCTTCGAATAGGGTAGTAAGAAGAAACAAGCAGTTAGTGTCCATAATGCAATGCAAGTTGCGGATGTGGTTGTCGGCTGATCAAGAGACTGCCAAGAGACCACTCAGCTGGTCGCCACGGAATTCTAGGTATCCCATTGGTTGTTGCACCCACCAATTGGACCAATCAGACTCGGGCGCATGTTCGTCTGGCACTTGCATTAGTTCAAGGCTATGTTCAGTCAGCTGGCGTTAGGGTGGCTATACTTTGTTTGCTTCGTATTCACCATTTTACGTAATTTCGGTGTTTAATTTTATGCACAAATTGTTAAAAAATCTATAAAAGGACAAGTATTGTGTGTCAATTAATTTTACACTACATTGAGCTGTCAAAATGCTGTAAATTCATTGTTAGTGATGATGTAATGGTTTACTGTTTAAGTCATCATCTGAATGAATGAACATTTCTTGGATGTCTGTATGATAGTTATTTCATACACGATACAGTTAGCACGAGAGAACCACACCATTCATCTTGGTATGTGTACAGTGAAATAATTATTTGAAGACTCGTAAATCACTACGTGGAAGTTAGGGATTCATGTTTGTTTGATGAGTATGTTAGCTGAGGAATATGAGCGTGTGTGATTGTTCCTGATGGGTGAACTCATAACTGATCTACTTGAATAGTTTTGTTATTTTCTTGTCGTGGAGAAATATTTGTTAATTTCACTTATTCTGTATTTACTAATAACACCTTTATAAAAAAACATTCCCTCGTAAATAAACATACAGTACATCCTACTTCACCAGACTAAAGCAAAATGTTATTAGACAGCGTACTGTATTTTATATAAAATGTAATACGCCATCTGATAAAATTTTGCCTTGTAAACAAACACTAGGCTACTCCACCCTAACCAATAACAACAACACTCAGAAAAATATAACCCTATATTGTTGAGGGGAAGTGAGGGTGTTATGAAGGGGAGGTGGAAGAGATCTTGGTATGGGACAATATTTTCTTTCCTTCAGTAAACTCTATTTTAATGTATTATGGAGAAATAAAAAGAGCTTAGTGCACAATAGGCTTCTGCGTAATTATCACAGAACGTATAAGTGTTTACGGTATATAAGTCTAAGTGAGTCTATATATATTCAGGGTATAATAATAATAATAACAATCTTCCCAAAATGCTTTTGCTGTAATATTTAACAACTTGGAAACACAGGTAATATTGCTTATGGTTCTGTTTTATTGATGTCATAATCACTCAATATTGCAGAAAGACATTCAGTTCTATGTACAGATTTTTTCTTTGTGCAATACATACACAATTCCCTGGACACTTCCGGCAATACCTGACATATAGGATTTTATTAACTCCAAACAATTCACCTGTAATACGCCAAACACATACATACAAATGTCTACCGTTCTAATTTGGCTTTTTTTAACATGCTCATTTACAGGAAGTATAAACTCTAGCGGTATTATAGGTAGAGTACGTATGGTATATATTTTTTGCTATCTTCTAAAATAATATACGAATAAATCCTTCAATCTTATTATAATCATAGAATTGTTGTTCCGCATATTATGGAGTTAGCGGCATTTGGTATATAATATCAAGAAGAAAAGTGACCCCCCCCCAAAATATTTATAAAATGAACTTCCCCGTTTACAGATAAAGAGAAGACATGGTTGTTTAACAGGTAG